GTCTCTCTCTCTGTCTGTCTCTCTCTCTCTCTCTGTCTCTCTCTCTCTCTCTCTGTGTCTCTCTCTCTCTCTCTCTCTCTCTGTCCCTATCTCTCTCTGTCCCTCTCTCTCTGTCCCTCTGTCTCTGTCTCTGTCTCGCTGTCTCTCTGTCTCTCTGTCTCTCTGTCTCTCTGTCTCTCTCTCTCTCTCTCTCTCTCTCTCTCTCTCTCTCTCTCTCTCTCTCTCTCTCTCTCTCTCTCTCTCTCGTGATACAAGACTATATCGTCTTACCTTTTCAATTTCATAATACCCTAATGGTGTGTTCTCAGTCACACCGGACGCAATGTGATTTGTTTGGCGCGTCGCGATTACATGTAAAGTCAATGTAAGGACACGGATAGACGCAAATCTGCTGGATAAGACGATGAAATTCGCCAAACTGCGTGCGATGCTGGATGATATCGTGATCCCAGACACAGCGGCGTTTGATAGTTGTAATATCTTCCGTAATTAAGTGCAGAAAGAAACAAAACTATCAACAGCGTCAACACCATTAGTATTCTCGATTTAAAGACTAAGCTATGGTAAAGTGATGTCTGTGTGTTTCTGAATTTACCAGACATCTTCCCACTTATTCATTAAATCCACATTTCTGATGATTATTTACCAAAATGCTCATTGTTTAATTATTTAGTGAAAGCATCAATATGTTTGAGGTGTTATTTAACTCGAGGGTCTAAAGCGCTATAGAAGTCTGTGCTGAATGTATTTCAGGTAAAGCCAGAAATCAGCAATATTTTGATAAATAATTAAATAAGTTTTTCTTAATTTAATGCCATCTTTTGAATTTAACAATTCTTAATTTCTAATCAACACATCCTTATTCGAGTCGTGCAGAATTTACACTCGATAATCTCTTCTGTTAAGTCATCTTTATTCAAAGTAAGATGTTTTTATTGTAATAATGTGTGTTGTTTCTTCCCCTCAGAACTGTCAGATCGGTCTGAACTTCGCCAGTGAAGAAGAGGCCAAAAGATTCAGAGCGGCCATCAACGACCTGCTGAACCGACGGCAGCGCAAAACCGGTACGTTATACTGACGTCCTCTTCCTCTGTGTGACCTTTCACCTCTCACTCATGGGCTGCAGAACTCTTTCCTCTTCTTCTGCTAACATCTACAATTCTGTCCCAAACCCGTCCGCCTCATTCAAGTCCAGTACTTTCTGCTTAAGTAAAACTTTATATGCAGGACTTTTACTGCTAACAGAGTATTTTTACACTGTGGTACTTCTACTTTTACTTAAGTACAAGATCTGAGTACTTCTTCCACCAAGAGGGTATCTCAAGAGGAGGGAATCTGTGCCGACAACAGTAAACATGGAGGGTTTATTGATTGCTTCCACTTGATTATATTTGAGTGCATTTTAAAAATGGATGTATAGAGGAAGTAGACGACATTTCAACATAATCCATAGTGCTGTCGGACTCTTGGTCTGAAGAAATGTTTTGGTCTTGAGACTGTTCTTAAATTAAGAAAAAATGAATTACTGAGTGCATTAATCTTTGGTCTCTTATTTGAATATATTCCTTTTATCATACACACCAATATATTGTTGAGTTCCTCTTCGATTAGAGAGTTATACTGAGGTTGTAGTGAATGAATATCACAAAAAACTACTTTTATCAGAAGGTGAGCTATCTTAGTTTGTGAATTAAGGACCCTGGTTGTAAACAAATCTTACTTTCTTATCGCTTCATGCAAAGATATGCAGCTTCTGGTTATTGTTGTTGGCGCAGTGTTTGTTGAGGGGTATTAAGCTATCTGCGTTACGTTCATTTTAACACCAACATATCACAAGTTGATTGAGACGTATCTGAAGATGAGGACGTGTTGAGTTTGGGACAGTTTCCTCCTTTTCTCTGCTGCAGTTACTTGTGTTTGTCTCTCTGTGGTAAAGCTGTCAGTCTGTCTGTGTTCTCTGCAACGAGGCTCCTCTCAGCATGTCAGCCTTTTTGAAGTGCAGCCTTCAAACTGTGATGATGACTGAGGGTCAAACGGGGGAGATTTTCTTTGAGACACAACTAAGCTTTTGCTTCCCTTCCGCTCAAGACTTCCTGACTGTTTACATCAAATGGAGTGGTGCAGGGATGATGTATATTTATTTATGTATTTTTCGACTAAGCAATAGCATCTACCAGGTTCACTCTACAAAAAGCCAATAAGATCTGTCGATTGGATTTAAAATTATTGTCAAACAAACATTTATGATACTCATACGTTTAGTTCAGCAGGATAATCTCCACATGTTAACACCACTTTATGATTTTTCGAGTAAAAAGCTGATGTTGGGCTATAAAGGAACTACAGCACGGTCACATGACTTCACGTCACCACCGCTAAGCTAAAGGTGGCTAATGTTGGGCTATAAAGGAACTACAGCACGGTCACATGACTTCACGTCACCACCGCTAAGCTAAAGGTGGCTAATGTTGGGCTATAAAGGAACTACAGCACGGTCACATGACTTCACGTCACCACCGCTAAGTTAAAGGAGGCTAATGTTGGGCTATAAAGGAACTACAGCACGGTCACATGACTTCACGTCACCACCGCTAAGCTAAAGGAGGCTAATGTTGGGCTATAAAGGAACTACAGCACGGTCACATGACTTCACGTCACCACCGCTAAGCTAAAGGTGGCTAATGTTGGGCTATAAAGGAACTACAGCACGGTCACATGACTTCACGTCACCACCGCTAAGCTAAAGGAGGCTAATGTTGGGCTATAAAGGAACTACAGCACGGTCACATGACTTCACGTCACCACCGCTAAGCTAAAGGCAGCTAATGTTGGGCTATAAAGGAACTACAGCACGGTCACAGGACTTCACGTCACCACCGCTAAGCTAAAGGTGGCTAATGTTGGGCTATAAAGGAACTACAGCACGGTCACATGACTTCACGTCACCACCGCTAAGCTAAAGGTGGCTAATGTTGGGCTATAAAGGAACTACAGCACGGTCACATGACTACAGGTCACCACCGCTAAGCTAAAGGTGGCTAATGTTGGGCTATAAAGGAACTACAGCACGGTCACATGACTTCACGACACCACCGCTAAGCTAAAGGAGGCTAATGTATGAACATGATGACGTTCAGTCGTCTCATTTAGACACTTGTCAGGAACTGCCGTTTTTTAAATCCACCAAAAGGGCATTTACTGATTTATTTTATGTCGTAGAACCATAATCTCTTCATCTTGTATTAACCACAGACCTTATTCCAGGACCAAAAACATATTCAAACATATCATTGACTTTGAGATGATGGAACAGGAGATGCAGAGTCATTTCCTGGTCTTAGGACTCATTCCTGCACCCCTCTATACATAAGGCAGCATGTTTTCCTCTGAAAGCTTCAACACTTGTGGGCTTTGAATCTTTAAAACTCGTCTTGCTTGAACTACCACAAAACTAAACCTGCGCACACTTTCTGAAACCCTCTTCTCTCGCCTCTTACAAAAAAATCTCTAAATATCTTCCATTTTACTTGTTGATATTCTGAAACTATAACCGTGTTAATTTCTCTTTTTGCAGAGAAGAGAGGTGACCCTAAAAATGGTACGTTGAACTCTAAATGTCGATGATTCAGATTCTCCTCCAGCTGCTGTAGCCTCTGGTCTGCTCCGTCATCTTGACCTGGATTAACAAAAAAACATCTGTTGATTTTTAAAATGAAAATCTCCAGATATACCGTCTGTTTGGTGACTAAAAAAACGTACCAGTCAAAAACTCGGCTGTTTTTAAAATGGATAACAACTGTATAATTTAGACACCAAATGCAATATTAAAATGCAAGAAGACTAACATTTTAAATAAGAAGCCCACATCAAATAAGTACAGATGCAATATATAAGAAAAGGGGCACCATTATAAGAGTAAGAGAGCTTGTTTTACTCTCTGCCCCCGTAACAAAAATGCAGATTTTCCCCGTAAAATGTTAAAGTGATGCCAGAAAACGATATTTCTGTTAGTCAAAAACTGTATAATTACTCCAAAAATATGAAAATGGTGTCAAATAGAGCGTCTGACGGCAGAGACAGCTTGAGTTCCGAATTGATATATCTTATATACAAGATCGGCGCCACACTATATCTTTCTAGAAACACCCCTGATGACCATATCAAAAGTGGTGAAGCAGCTTTAACATTATTAAATTGTGGAATTCTGTTTCGCACAGATTGTTTTTATTTAACGGTGTTGTAAACGTTCAAGGTTTTATCAGCTTTCTCATTTCAACAATAACAGTTTTTCTTTGTCACCAATTCTGATTAATCCTATTCTACAACTTCTCACTTAACCTATGCGACAAACATTAGTGTACTGAGTATCTCTGCAGCTCCACAATACTTCATTAAAAATGGGTTTTTAACATTTAGCCTTTTAACAAATAGGATTTTTGTTTTGCTTTACTTTCAATTACATTTTGATTAATTGAGCAGCCCTTATTCGATAGATTCTTCTTCTCAAACACCTGACTGCATCCTATATCCTATTTGTTGCAGAACACATACTCTTAAACGTCTATATATGCAGTAGCAGACTGTGGTTTTACAAAGCAGCTCGTAGAAATTGGAAGCAAGAATCTGATTATAAACAGAGCACCCGAAGATATGTTTCTGTGCGTGACTGTGTGACAGCGTCGTGGTGTTTCCTGACGCGCTGTTTTGCAGACTTCATGACTCACATAGGGAGGGAGTCAGCCGCAGGTTAATCTGTCAGCAGGAAGCCCATCTGTGCCATATGTGGACCACATGGCCTCCGTTGTTCCCTTTAAACCCTGTCGTGCTGCACATTAAGGCTAATCTCTAATCTCGACAGTTACTGCTGCTCCACATTTGTTCTGGTCGCTTCATCTTTCTTAAATACATGTTTTAATATTCATAAAAGTGTTTATGAATCAGCATTACATTTGACAAATACCCATGTAGATGTGCCAGTATTAGCTCAACGGTGCATATATTACTTTGTTTGCAAAGACAGAATTAAAGAAATGGATAGATGTAAGGTCTCCAACCAGGGACGTGCACAGGTACGGGCTAATGTTGCCCGGGCAACGGCCCTTTTGCCATTTTTGCCTAACCTGCCCCTCTGGAGAGAGCAAGAGTTGTTTTGTTTACTATTGTGGCCGAATCAACATGATAAGCCCACAATTAGTATTGTAGCGTCTCGCTGCGGGAAACACACCTTGTCCGCGCTGTCACCTGCCCCCAGTCACGTGACTTTGTTTACAATCTGACAGCTGGAAGCTAAGGAAAGCCCTCCGAGTCCAAACTCATATGGCTATGGTGATCACACCAAACGCCTGCCCTGGCTCCTGCCCGTTAGAGTATAGGGGACAAACCAGGGGACTTTACTTCCTCTTGACACCGTCGGTTACTTACAAAAAAAACACCTAAATATACTTGTTGTGCTTCTGTCTTTCTGTGTCTTTTACTCTGCTCCGTGAACTCCCTCACCCTCGCTCTCTTTTCTTGATCGCCCTCTCACGGAGAACACTTCACTGTCCCGCTTTATTGTTGGATTTCTGCCATGCACTTTAGCTTGACCATCTCTGTTATTAAGTTATGGAATTCTAAATAAATAAGTAATTAGATACCTTACCGTTACTACGCTCATAAAGAATGATAAGAATAATGCGTATTGAACTGGTTTAATTAATTAGTGAGTTTAAAAAGGTAATTATAGAAGCCCTATGTTATCAGTAGTCATGTCTGCACAGCAGTAACAACGGTAAAACTACATTAAAACAGAATTGTCCCCATTGTTTCTTTAATAGTTACTAACATTAGATATTTTAATGAGATATGGACCGCAACAAAAAATGTGCCTGAATAACGAATTTAGCAGTTGGACATAAAAGTCAACTGAGTGTCACTTGCAATGACAGTGTTGTGTTTTTATTTTATGAGTTTATGTTAGAATTTTCAAAAGGCCCTTTTTCCAGTTTAGAGCAATAGCCCCTCCAAATGTCTGTGCACGTCCCTGTCTCCAACATGTGTCGAATGGTTGGATGTGCACGTCCCTGTCTCCAACATGTGTCGAATGGTTGGATTGTGGATATCTCAAAGACCTGAAGAATTCATCAACACTTACTATTTTACCACTATATTTCAACTAAAACTGCCTGCAGCCTGATATTCTTTTAAACCATTGACCTTATACTTTACGTTATATATACTTTGATTGATAGTATGATGTAGATGCAATATTTTATAAAGCGCAGCCATTTAAAAAGTGTTCCTTTCCACACCAAACATGGCTGATATTTTAAGATCTATCCAATTTGCAGGCGGTTTATACAAAGCACACACCGGTCTATATTTGTTTTTGACACCTCCTTGTGGACGTAAGGCCAGAACATTTTTTGCAGGTTTAATGTGGATGTGGTCTAAAGTTAAGTTAGCGGGACTACAATTTGTATTTGTCAAAACCTGGGGAACAGAAGCTCCATTTACATTACATGTCATCAGCGGTTTCTTTCATCCAATATGTTTACTTTAAGTGCATTAAACCATAAAGATACAAACTCATACAAATGCAGATACAGTAGCTTATAATTAGGGCTGTCAAGTTAACGCGTTAATAACGCGTTAACGCAAAACAAAATTAACGCCACAAATTATTTTAACGCGATTAACGCATGTGTATCTTTTGTCCTCGGCCGCCCCGTAGTTTCAGAGCGCATCGAGTTTAAAATACCATCTACAAGCTGATGCTGACAGCCCCGCTCCTGCCGCCCGCTTGTGGCAGACCACACTTCCACGCTCACCGGCAGGCACCGACTGGCCCTCGGGAGGACCGAGAGGGTGTGTGTATGTGTGGCCCGAGCGAGAGAGAGACCTTACGTGCATTGTTGTTGTTAGCATCTGGTGCTAGCTAGCTGCGCTAACGGATATACGGAGCTGTTTAAATGAAAACAGAGGAGCGACATTTCGCCACAACTGCGCCGAGCACTTGACTTCATGCAGGAAGCCAGACATTGGGACATTGTACGAGAAGTCAGCACACTCAGCACGGATAGTGCGCAACATGATTGCAGCGTCCAGGCAGCTCCGGTTCGAGCATATGCCTTGAGTTGCACATAGCTCCAACGATCCATCACACACACACACACACACACACACACACACACACACACACACACACACACACACACACACACACACACACACACACACACACACACACACACACACACACACACACACACACACACACACACACAGTATGAGAGAGGTTCCAGGTTGTTGTGTTTAATATTCATGAGAATATTTGTCATTGTTCAAATTATAATAAACATTAGCATAAAGCATATTTGTCCACTCATATGTTGATAAGAGTATTAAAAACTTGAAAATATTCCTCTAAGGTACATTTAGAACGGATAAAAAATGTGCGATTAACTATTTTAATCGACTGACAGCCCTAGTTATAATAAATCAAACCTTTTTAGGGCTGGTGCATTAGTTTCAAATAGGCTAAAACTTATTTTCTGTACAAGATAAACGGCTCGGAAGATGTCTAGACTTCCTGCTGTGTTATCAATGTGCCTACCATTATGGCAGACAGGTGTGTCTTTGTTGACGGTTACCTGGGTTCAACATAACCTTCAGGGAGTGGCACGCTGATTGGCCGACGCTGAGCAAAGTGCTGAAGTGTATAGTTTAACCGTTTCCTGGATGTAGGAAGGACCGAATCTCTTCACAGCACTATAGCCAAGCGCCAGTGTGTCGAATGCCAAACGCTGGTAAAATATGCAAGTTGACAAGAAATGTGTATCAGTCCCTTCAGTAGCCAGTTGCACGGTGGATAAGATCAGTGAATGTTGTACGAAGAGTGTCTTTGCTTTTGGGGAGGCAGCTGCAACGTAAATCCTATCTTAGTGTTCATGAGGTCTAGGCAAACACAGTTGTGAGTTTTGGTCGCAGTGCATCAGAGTTTTATTTATTCTCCTCTGCAGCTTTCCACACGTTGTCTCAACAGACTGTTATCTTTCATTAAGCCCTCTGACTGTGGGCAAACAGTGGGGCGACAGAGAGCAGGATTAACATACACCGAACGAATCAGTCGTCTCTTTCATCAGCTCAAATGTTCTCCCTGCGATCGGGCTTTCATTGAAGTTTTCTCCACATTCACTCTGACATTTAAATTGTGAAGCATTACATTACATGTTACTTGTTAGACGCTTTTATCCAAAGCGACATACATACTCAATACTGTGGGCAATCCCCACAGGAGCACTTTGAGGTGAAGTGTCTTGCCCAGGGACACAACGACATGCTGACTGCAGTGGGGTTTGAACCTGTGACCCCCTGATCCCAACACCAAGGCTCTATCCACTGCGCCACATGCCTCCTGCATGAGACCAACAGAGGGGCGATGCTGCTGTGTCTGAATGTGGGTCTCAGTTTCTCTATTGTTCTTGTCCTCATTGTGAGAACAGGACTGGTCTAGTGAAGCAGCTTCAGGGTTACATTGTTTGGGAATGTTGAGGCCTCCGAGTCTCTTGTTACCTTACTCTTAAATCCAGCCTCAGCTTCTCCACTTGATCTTTATTG